GAATGACCATGACACGATCTCTTCTCCACTCTCCCCTCCGGATTTCAGGCACGGGTGCACAAGTGCCTGGCATGAGTTTCAAGTTGTCAGGTCCAGGATTTGAACCATGATCGGCCATGTGGGAGTCCAGTGACATAACCATTATATCATCTGCTGGTCCCTAATTATTCTTTTCAATTATTGTGGTTAAGAAGAATTTCAATGAATCTTACCAAATCTCAAAAATAATAACATACAGCAAAGAAAATTCCAGGTATGTATTCATGGTCTTACGCTAGGATCTGTATGACAGCAAACATGCTTCGTACTCAGCTGGAGAGCTTTACATGTTTTCTAGTAAAGTCTTTTGGAAAAAAAGCTAGCAGCTGGGAAGTACCTTAGCATTGAGGGGACACACCGACAGGGCGCTTCTGAAAAGCTGCTCTTCATTCCGCCACTCGCCACTGCGAATCATGCATCTCAGCGTGTTTATAAATAAAATGCCCAGCACAGCAGCGGCAATTCGCTTCTTAAGAACAGAGAGATATGGTGAGTGTCCTTAGTGAGGTGCACCCAGGTGGCAGGGTTGCAAACAATGCTTGCTTGGTACCTTCTTCTTCACGTGCTTGCCGAGGGCCCCAACTCCGAAGGTCAGCAGCGTGCAGAAGCCCACGCTGGGGAGGTAGAGGACTCGCTCGGCAACCACAAAGCCCACTCGGAAGAACAGGTTACTTGCAGGAAGGAACGGGATGACGAGAAACCCCAGGCCCAGTGTGAGGATCCTGGAAGATAACAGGTATTTAAATAAATGGCTATCTTCAGAGGCCTCAAGAAAAACACCCTAGTAAACATTACATTAATGACAAAAGCCTTTTTTTTTTTCAATGGGATCAACTGAGAAAAAGTCTTATTGTCAATAAAAACGTCATTGGCAGGGGCCAGCAGGTGGTGTAGTGGTTAAGAGTGCTGGACTCCCACATGGATGACCATGGTTCCAGTCTCAGACCTGGTGGCTTGGTTTCTCTCTCTCTCTCTTTCTCTCTCTTGCTCTGTCCCTCTCTGATCAAATCAAAATATAAATAAATAAATAAAATTGAATAAGAATAATTCTTAAAAAAAAAGTCATTGGTAGAAAGTAATGGGTTAGCCTGGCAGTATGGAGTAAGGCATAGATATATTACTAAGCAGGGCCAGAGGATGGCACAGCAGTTAAAAAGTGACCCTCTGTGGGGACCAGCAGTTAGCGTAATGGCGATGTCGCTGGACTCCCATGAAGTCGACTGCGGTTCGAGTCCCAGACCCGGCAGCTTAAACTCATGCCGGGCGTGTGTGCGTGTGTGCCCAAGATCCCAAGAGGAGAATGGAGGAGAAAGGATTGCAGTGTGGCCATCCCCCCTGGGGGGGTGATTTCTCGCTTTCTATCTCTCTGTCTCTGTCTGGTGAGTGCACGTGCCCTATAGCAAAAACCTCTCAAAAAAAAAAAAAAAAAAAAAAAAGTGGCCCTCTGCGAGGCAATCAATCCCCTGTGAGAAAGTTCTTGGTACAAGCCTGGAGACCTCCCAGCGTATACTGGGTATACATATTCCCATGATGCAAGGTTGGCTGGAGGTGGGAATAGTTCAGGTGTCAAGATTCGGCTGGGGCGTGTTCTCTCTCTCTCTGTCTTTCTCACTCATGGAAGAAATAAATGAAGCTATTAAAATGTAATAAATATAAAAATATTACTGAGGCACTGACCATCAAGCATGGGAGTAAACCTTCTGAGTCACATGATTCATATCAACAAAGTGAGAATGATTACATTCGCCAGGCCTTTGTTAATCTATCACAGACCCTTTAGGTACTGATAGCCAGCTTAGTGGGTATTGGTCCCAATTAATTCAAGATAGCTTTTATGGAGAAAAATAATCCCCCCAAATGAGGATAATGAACCTAGCAGTGAGTAGTATAAACTTTATAAAATCCGAGTTAAAAAAATAAAATTTTTGGTTGCTTCTTCAGCACAAATTTCAGTCAGGCAGAAAGAAAGTTTGACTGCTGAAACAATTCTAGGAGCCTCCAATCATTCCCAATGTCCCCGATGAAGCAAGAGGACGGATTAAGCAAGGGTGGTAGCTCAAATTTGGTAGCTCCTTCCTAGACCCTGTTGCCTACAGGGTTTAAAAAAAATCCATTTCACATGCATAAGTGAACTAGAATTAAAGTTTATTGCTTTTTAGAATTACCAACCGATTGAAGACACAGGTAGACTTTAAATTTAGCTTATTTTGAGAAATTATGAACCGAATTTCACAAACACTTAGGCTTAAAGGTTTTCTTTAAAAACCTTAAACAGTTTTCTTTTTCGTGAAACACATTTGTTTTTCCTAATTGTTTTCCCAATCAACCTTTTTTTTTGTCAAAAAAAAAAAAAAGAATAGTCTCCTTGGGGCAGCAGCTTGTGTGGCCAATAACAGCAGAAGGGATCCCGGTAGCATTCAGCGTGCAGGAGGACTGTGAAATAATGGTCACAACACACGTCAATTACGCTCTGTTCTGACCGCAAATTACTCTTTACCACCGATGGGAAAAGGATCTGCAAATGCTCCTCCAGGACGGGGGAGGAGAGAGGACAGTCAGCCACGCCCCTTCTGCCTTCACTCCACGCCCGCCCGTTGGATCAGGCAATGGATGATTCTGGAGGGACTGACCTCATCCTAGCTACAAACAGGCATTTGAAATAAACGTCCTCCGATGTTACTTGCACAAAACAGGAGTGTGACTGGTGCTGGGTTTAGCAAAACGCCTCTGACTGGACCCGATGTAGGAGCGGAAGACCGCGCTGTCTCTTACCTTCTCTTGTGGCTGTCTTCAGAGCACAGGGCTTGGCATATCAGGCCAATTAGGCAGAGCCAGAGTGCTGCTAGTGCAATTACCCTCCAGTCACTGACCGACTTAATGAGGGGGATGCAGCCCATTGACCAATCAAAACACAGCCACCAGGGACACAGCAGCAGCCAGGCATTCAATGCATAGTAGTAATTATAGTTTATGGCCTGCCAGTCAAAAGGAAAACAAACATTTGTTTGATACTGAACTTGAAAGAAATATATTTTTAACTTCACTTTTGAAGCATGCGTATATTTTGTTCAAGGAAAGCAGTTGAATAAAAAAGAATATCATCCGTCTGTATATTGGACATGGGACTGCGGTCTGGGAGTCATGAAATGCATTCAGATCTTAATATAGCAAAGCCACCTGAATAAGCAGCACATCTGTTGTATTTCTGGCCAAGCTAGCAGCCATTTACTTAGCAATGCCTAAAAGCCTGTGACCCAGCAAATCTGAGGCCCAGGGATGACCCATGCACCTAATGATATAAGGCCAGGGCTCTGAGGTTGTGCTCTGATTTCTGTTTCTATGAAAAGCACTGCTAGGAATTCGTGGTCAACATCCATGCTGTTAGAAAAGGGCAAATCTAAAAGAATAGCGTGAGTCCTGACACCCTTAGGCTTTTAAAGATACCGTCACCTATACTGTGTCTTAATCCAGCCCCATCAAATTCTTTCACAATGACAGTTATGGGGTTAAGGGGCAGGTTGACAAGACTTGGAAAGAGCCCAAGCAAGGAGAAACCACCCCTTTTCGTTTTTCAATAGAAAGCAAATTTAAGTAGTTTACTGAGATCTCTCAACCCCCTAATAAAAGCCTGGCTTCACCCTAGAATATCTTTCCTGATAGCAAAAAAAAAAAAAAAACACAAAAAAACAAAAAACCCAGAGAGGTGTCCCATATATAAGGGTACAGTATTGTGGGTATGGTGGGGAGAGACGGGGAGCAGGGATGGAGGACCTGCGAGTATTTTTTTGGGGGGAAGAAGAGAATGGCAAAGAAACAAACTGTGAACTCACCCTCACCATCACGCTGTCCGCGAAGGAGGCCGGGTTGTCCACCTCAGTGAACGCCGGTGGGCCGGTGCCCATGATTTTCCAGCGCACGTACAGCATGCCGGCACCTCCGGAGGTGAGCAGGGCCATCCTGAAGAGGAGGCGCCCGTTCCTGAGCATTCTGATGCTCTGAAAAGACAAGAAAAGCCACTGGTGCTGCGGATTTTCAAGAGAGTGCAGCCCAGTCCGCTACTCAGACACCCCGCGTGTGGCGTGAGAGCTGCTATTCTGGGGCTAGCCAGGTGGTGTGGTTAATGTGGCTGAATTCTGCATGGGCGGCTTGAGGTTCGAGTCCTGGACCTGGCAGCACGAAAAACACACCAGGTGTGTATGTGTGTGTGTGTGTACATGCTCAAAATTTGAGAGGAGAACAGAGAAGATGGTATTACTATGCAGCCATTTCCTTGGGAGGTGATTTCTCACTTCCCCCCTTTTATCTCTCCCTGCTCTATAGTGAGCGAGCGAGCGAGCGAGAGAGAGAGACAGAGAGAGAGAGAAGGACTACCTATTTTAGAATCCAAAATGACAAGAAATACTTTACAAATGCCATTTTAAATCAGGCAGTACTTGACATTTTCCATGTCTGGGCTGGAGAGAAAGTATTTACTTACCTCTAATGACCTGTCTTTACGCAGTGCCTTCTGGACAATTTCCAGAGCATTGAATTTGCCTATCACCAAGATATCAAATACCGCATTCAACCCCTGAAGAAACAGAGCAAAACAATCAATGACGGGATGGCCCACTTCCGAGTAGGCAACAATTACACTTCATAATTGGTCACTGAATCTGGACAAGGAGCACAACGGGTTAATCAGAGGACACCTGCAGCTCTTCAAGAAAGAAAAAGTAAAAGCAGCCTGTTTCTGTGAATTTAGCCTGTGGTAATAGATCACATATACTATCTAGTAAGCCCTGCTAGTAAGGATTTCATTGTTTGCATGTAAGAGTTCTTTTTTTTTTTTTTGAGAGGTTTTTGCTATAGGGCGCATCCGCTTGCCAGACAGACAGAGAGAGACAGAGAGACAGAAAGCAAAAAATCACCCCCCAGGAGGGATGGCCATGCCGCAATCCCTTCTTCTCCATTCTCTTCTCGGGATCTTGGGCACGCACGCACACGCGCCCAGTGTGAGTTTAAGCCACTGGGTCTGGGACTCAAACTGCAGTCGACTACATGGGAGTCCAGAGACATAGCCATGACGCTAACTGCTGGTCCCTATAAGAATTCTTTAAGAGTCAGGATAGCTAGACAAAGGAGCTCCCAGGCGAGCTTCTCCAAAGGCCTATCTTCTCTTTTATCCCCTTAACTATAAGCAGCCCTGTCAATGATGTGACAGAGTGGTCACCTGGGCAGTAATAATGCTGGCAGAGAGGTGGCCATCCACCTTGGAAATTCAGCCGCAGAAGGAAACCTTAAGTGCCGCTGACTTCAGCAAATGGAGTGGGAGTAGTCCAATAACAGCTAACACACAGTAATCGCTGACAGAGCTCTGTGGATCTCTCGGGAAGAGTCCTGGCGACCACGGGTTCTACCTTCTCACTGGACACACAGCTGGCTACATCTCTCAGGCCGCCTAGCAGGGAAGTAAGGCCGAGTTCTAGCTGACAGAGCGAGGGAAGGAGTGTTCTGGACCACTGTGAAGGTTTAGTCGTAAAACCTGGGTGCCTGGGACTAGCAGATACGTAGTGGTTACTTCGCTGGACTCCCACCTAGTTGACAGCAGTTCAAGTCCTGGACCTAGTGGCTTAACTCATGCTGGGCATGAATGTGTGTGTGACCAAAATCCTGAGAAGAGAAGGGATTGCAGTGTGGCCATCCCCCTGATGGTGGGGGAGGTGATTTCTTGCTTTCTGTCTCTGTCTCTCTGGCGAGCACATGTGCCCTATAGCAAAAATCTCTCTAAAAGAAACAAACCGGGACCAGCAGTTAGTGTAATGGCTGTGTTGCTGGACTCCCACGTAGTTGACCGCGGTTTGAATCCTGGACCTGGTGGCTTAAACTCATGCCGGGCACATGTGCGTGCGTGCCCAAGATCCTGAGAAGGGATTGTGGCGTGGCCATCCCCTCTGTGGGGTGATTTCTCGCTTTCTGTCTCTCTCTGTCTGTCTGGCGAGCGCATGCGCCCTAGAGCGAAAACCTCTCCAAAAAAAAAAAAAAGAAACAAAAAAAGAAAAGAAATGGTGGAAAAAGAGGATGCCCTCTTCCGCCTGGCCAGGACAACCTGGGGAACTACAGGTGACGGTAGCAGGGCCTCAGCTGGCCTGGCCCACTGAACGTTGGAAGCCTCGCCCACGGCTGTTTGGTGGACGGCAAGTACACGAAGCCGCTGGGTTGGGGAGGAGCTCTCGGAGCCCCTTCTGCAGCCGGTTCCGACAGCAACTCGATCGTTTCTTCCTGCAGGGAAAGGCGCTTTTGCAGCTATGGCACCTACAGTTACAGGCTAACGGGGAGCTGAGCTGTGGATCTGTCTCTCCCCAGAGACAGACTTTGAGTGTCGCTGCAGCGGGTGACGCCATCTAGCAGACCCTCCTGCATGCTCTGGAGAAAGTGCTCCAGATAGTCCCAGGGTACATGGTTGGAACTGCCCCTAAATGACTTGGGTCTCTTTAATGTGGGGCTTTGTGGTGAAGATCATAAATCATCCGAAGTCAGTGGTAATTTGTGGTTTTCAGAGCAAGGATGACATCCCTACTTAACCCTCTCCCATAAAGGCTGGGAGCCACTAATTACCCAACACACGGGCCAGTGCCGTGTTAATCGTTTCAAAGCATCCTGACTTTATTCACCCGTGCGATACCCGATCTTTGCAGGTCACAGAAGCGTATGCCTGCCCGGTGTCACCCGTTTTCTAGAAGGCAGAGCGGCCTGTTAGTGGCCGCTATCTCCTTACATGGTTAGTGTCTCTGCCTATAAACAGAAGGGCAGTCATTGGGGTCACACAGCCAGGAGGACAGAGCCTGGCCCAGGCTGCCACTCCCTTCTCCCTCCCACTCAAACAAAGCACCAGGTCCACATTGAATAACATTTTGAAAACAGCTAAATTCTACCCCATCTTCACATAAGTTCGACCTAAATGCTCTTATTTTATGTTTCACATGCATTCACTGTGCATCGTTACAGCATCGAAAACGCATTTTTCCAGCATGCATACCCTGTCAAAAGACATCATCACGCGTGTTGTCAACCACAGATCTTCAGTGCTGCTCACGCGGATGCACAGGGGCTGCCTGAGCACCTCCTGAAACGGAGATTCTGGCTCAGCAGGTCTGAGACTGAGTTTCTTCTTCTAAGAAAAACTTGCCAGAAGGCAAAATACACTTGTGGAGAGGAACAGAAGGAAGGAGGGAGGCAGGGTGAAAGGGAGAGGAAGAGAGATGGGGAGGGAAAGAAAGGGAGAGAGGGGGAGGAAAAGAGAGGGGGAGAGAGGGGAAGAGAAAAGGAGAGAGGGGGAGAGAAAGGGAGAGAGAGAAAGAGAGAGAGAGAGAGGAGGGGGGAGAGAAAAAGGGGGAAGAAAGAAGAGAGAGAGAGAGGAAGGGATGAGGGGAGAGAAAGAAGGGAGAGAGAAAAAGCCACCACCCTGGGGAAATGGTCACGACATAATCCCTTCTCCTCTGGATTTCGGGCATGCACACACACAGGCTGCCAGGTCCGAGACTCAAGCTGAGCGGACGGCCATGTGAAACCCGCTGCTCCAACCACATGCCACTGGCTGGTCCTGAGATCCTGAGCTCCAACGTCACACGCTGCTGATGCGACTGGTCCTCCCACCGCATTTTATAATAAAGCAAGGTTTAAGTTCTAGCACGAACCACAGGCCACGCCTGCCGCTGTCTGCAGATGCCTGATGCTGTCACAACTGAGTGGGGCCTCCAGGCATCCAGGGGTAGAGGCCAGGGCACGGCTAGACGCCCTTCAGTCCACGGAAATCCAGAGGAGAGGTGACCTGGTCTCAAGCGTCAGCAGTGCGACACCGAGAAACATTGCTTTAGAGCACAGGTTTTAAAAGTGGCTCATGAAATTCGAGTTACCTTTCCACGGTAATCCTCACTGCACCATTCCCTTGCTAGCTTAATCTTAACGGATGGAGCCTCATGGAACTCCTCACCTTTCCCTTGACTGGTGTCCAACACCAAATAGCTCCGACTGCTCTTTCTTTGCCAAGCTATTGCTATGAGGCTGTTCAAATCCCACATCTTGGCTTTTTCCCCTTCTCTGTCCCCATCCCTAACGTCTACGTTTCCCTCTAATAATATAAAGCAGAAAACTGGCTAGGATGGAGAAAAGGACAGTGGGTTTCAATGCCTCTCCCTTCCTGGGGCTTCAGTTCTAGCCTCCCCGGCATCAAGACCTAAATGCTTTTATTTTAGGTTAATTCGTACAGTACAAAGAGTACTGAAAAGTGACCAAGATAATACGGTGCACATTCTTATTGTGTAGAGAGAGACTGTAAGGCTTAAAGTTAAAATGTGTGATTATAAGTTACATTTGACTTAAAAAGAACACTTTGAAAAGAAAGTCCTACTTAAAATATTGGCATTATTAGAGATTCTTCCTTCCTTCCTTTCTTTCTTTTTTTTTTTTTTTAAGGTTTTTGCCATAGAGTGAGTATGTACACTCACCAGAGAGAGACAGAGAGGAAAAGTGAGAAACCATCCCCCAGGGGGATGGTCATGCCTCAGTCCCTTCTCCATTCTCCTGGGATTTGGGGCATGCACATACATGTGTCTGCTGTGATTTTTACACCACTGGGTCCAGGACTCAAACCATAGTTGGCCACGTGGGAGTCCACCCAACTTGTTGGCCCCAAGATTCTTGTTTAAGTACTAAAGTAACAAATAATCTCTTGATTTCAAATCAAACATGTGTGCAAATGGAACATTTTAGTTCTGGTGTTGGTTGAAGTCTTATTCAGGAGGAGAAAAACTACAGGCAAGGTTTTTGGGGAGGTTGAAAGAAGAGAGAGGACACACATGCACGAGTCTCTGAGTGGGTGGCAGAACTACTGTTCTTTATTCCCAGACTGGCCCCTGCCCTTGCCAAATCCAGGACAGAAACACTGATGGGCTGGGCCCTCTGTTGCACCTAGAACTGTGAAGTACATGACAGCATCTCCAAAAACTCCAATCATTTTTTTTCTACAGAATCTCTCCAGGAGGGATAGTCACCAGTATTAAGAAGTCCCAGCCACCATTTTCTACAGGTTGCTAACGACAATCTGTGGAGACAGCTCACCATCGGAAATGCCAGGTGTGTGAAGGCACATGTCACTGGTCCAGAAAGGTCTACAATCTCAGGCTGGCAACAGGATGCAGAAGCAGAGAGGCCCACAGAGGGAGGGCCAGCCCAGGTGTCTAGAGACCAAAGGGGGCGAATGAAGGGTGCCCCAACCTCACCCTGCCCTTACCAGCACGGTGACCCCTTGCTCCTTGCACAGCATGGCCACTGCTCCCAGAAGGATACTCAGCAACACCCAGAAGGTAGAGGAATGCGTCCCTTCCTTGTTACCTGCCAGTGAAAAGAAATGATAAATGCAAAAGCCATGCAACACAGCTCAGTCTTGTTAATATTGGGACCTACATTTCTATTTGTTTGTTTGTTTGTTTTTTAAAGAGGTGTTTGCTATAGTGCACGTGTGCTTGCCAGAAAGACAGAGACAGAGAGACAGAAAACGAGAAATCATCCCCCAGTGGGGATGGCCACACTACAATCCCTTCTCCTCCATTCTCCCCTTGGGATTTTGGGCAAGCACGCACACATGCTCAGTGTGAGTTTAAGCCACTGGGTCCGGGACTCAAACTGCAGCACATGTCACTGGTCCAGAAAGGTCTACAATCTCAGGCTGGCAACAGGATGCAGAAGCAGAGAGGCCCACAGAGGGAGGGCCAGCCCAGGTGTCTAGAGACCAAAGGGGGCGAATGAAGGGTGCCCCAACCTCACCCTGCCCTTACCAGCACGGTGACCCCTTGCTCCTTGCACAGCATGGCCACTGCTCCCAGAAGGATACTCAGCAACACCCAGAAGGTAGAGGAATGCGTCCCTTCCTTGTTACCTGCCAGTGAAAAGAAATGATAAATGCAAAAGCCATGCAACACAGCTCAGTCTTGTTAATATTGGGACCTACATTTCTATTTGTTTGTTTGTTTGTTTTTTAAAGAGGTGTTTGCTATAGTGCACGTGTGCTTGCCAGAAAGACAGAGACAGAGAGACAGAAAACGAGAAATCATCCCCCAGTGGGGATGGCCACACTACAATCCCTTCTCCTCCATTCTCCCCTTGGGATTTTGGGCAAGCACGCACACATGCTCAGTGTGAGTTTAAGCCACTGGGTCCGGGACTCAAACTGCAGTTGATTACATGGGAGTCCAGTGATATAGCCAGTATACCTACTGCTGGTCCCCGGAATCTAAATTTCTAAGCATGCACTTAAATAACCATGGTTTAAAACAGAGTTGGGTCTTCAGACAGTACCTCTCTTGTGCCTGGGCAAGTGTGCATTTCTGCATTTTTGGTTAGACAATCCCATCTAAGTGGTGCCTATGTCCGCTCTTGCAGCTCTCCTGAACAGGTGCCCAGAGCCTTTGGGAGCCCTGGTAATGGAGCCCTGGCTACATGATGCCTCAGTCCAGGGTCCCCTGGGCAAGTTCCTTCTTCCCAACCTGCCAGTCACCTACTAGACCATTTTGGCAGGTGGTGTTGAGAACTCCCCCCAAGATGGCAAACTATCCACCTAGTTTCAAGCTGTCCTGATGGAGGAGCTGGGAGTGCCTAAGCAGCTCTGAGAATCTACTCCAGGGACAGGAGTCAGGCTTGCTAAACATCGGGGTGCTGATGCATCCCATTGGGATGGGTCTGCTTTGCTCCTGGTGGGGGACAGCTCAGACTGCTATTGATGGATGCATGGACACAGGCAGAGGGTTGGACCCCACCTTGAACTTGGGCCAGGTAAAGGCTCAGGTTGACTGGGCTGCCAATGTGCATGGGGACCCGAGTATTAACAGGGAGTAAAAAGCTCATCATGTGCAAAGCTCAGATGGTGGGAGTGTGAGTAACAACCGCCGGTCCCTATACTGCCTCTGAGGAGGGCCCTATCTGCTGTACCCAGTCTGCTGGGCCAGGCGTGCGACTAGGGCCAGAGCGGAACTGCTGGGGAGGGCGGGAGGCTGCACATAGTACTCATCGTTGTCCTTCCTCTGTGAAGCTCTTGCCCTTCCTCTAAATAAATGAACTAATATTAAAAATGGCAAGTGGGTAAAGTGAACCAACTTAGAGGATCCAATCAGGAGCTGCCCAAAGAAAGTCCTACTTGAAATACTACTCAGCCATAAAAAATAACAAGACCTTGGCATTTGATAGAAAGTGGTCAGATATGGAGGATCTATTGCTGAGTGAAGTTAAGCCAGGCTATGAAAGAAAGATATTGTATGTATCCACTCAATATATACCGACTATCCACACTCTATGGTAGAGAGCGAAAAATTGGAGGACATAAAAGCAGTGAAGGTACTTAATGAGAATAGGACAGTGTGGAATGGGGGAGGTGAAGAGAAGAGGATAGAGAAAGATAGCAAGAGAACAATAGAGAGGCAGGACGTTAGTGAGAAACAGACATGGTTTATTATCTGTTGATGACATGTATAGTATTCTCAACTGGATTGGTCTGAGAAGTATTTCATGATGGGTAAAGTCTTTTTACAAGCAAAATGAGAAATAGTGATTGACTGTTTTAAAAAATAACTAGAACAACAATAATGATGATTGGGAAAAACATAGAAAAGATATTGAATGTTGAAGCGGGGAGATTAATGTCTCTGTATTGACTGACATGCATGGCATTCCCTATTGAAAAAGCATTGTAATACACTGTAAAAATTATATGTAAGCCAATGTGGTATAAAGAAGATTATGATGATAATAAAAATTAAAAAATAAAAAAATGTAAAAAAAATTAAATAAGAAAAAACAAAAACAAAAACAAAAACAAAACAAAACAACCCAAAAAGGTCCTACTTGAAGCCAGAACTCCTGGTCTGAATTCCGGTTCTTACAGATGGAGCAAGTTACACATGCTCAGTCTCAATGGTCTCATCTATAAAATGTGGACAATGTCCCTTACTTCTCAAGATACATGCAAGATCTTCAACAAGTTCATGAAAATGCATTCTATAAAAAAATAATGCATGAATTTCAATAAAGTTTTGTGCCCCAAAATAAACTCATACTTTTTTTTTTAAAGAGGTTTTTGCTATAGGGTGCATATGCTCACCAGAGACACAGAAAGCAAGAAATCACTCCCCAGGGTGGATGACCATGCTGCAATCCCTTCTCCTCCATTCTCCTCTTGGGATCTTGGGCACGCATGCACACGTGCATGCACATGCGCCGGGTGTGAGTTTAAGCCACTGGGTCTGGGACTCAAACCGCAGTCGACTACATGGGAGTCCAGAGACATAGCCATGACGCTAACTGCTGGTCCCTATAAGAATTCTTTAAGAGTCAGGATAGCTAGACAAAGGAGCTCCCAGGCGAGCTTCTCCAAAGGCCTATCTTCTCTTTTATCCCCTTAACTATAAGCAGCCCTGTCAATGATGTGACAGAGTGGTCACCTGGGCAGTAATAATGCTGGCAGAGAGGTGGCCATCCACCTTGGAAATTCAGCCGCAGAAGGAAACCTTAAGTGCCGCTGACTTCAGCAAATGGAGTGGGAGTAGTCCAATAACAGCTAACACACAGTAATCGCTGACAGAGCTCTGTGGATCTCTCGGGAAGAGTCCTGGCGACCACGGGTTCTACCTTCTCACTGGGCACCTGCTTCTTATTGTCTGTAACACATCAAGATACCTATGGAATGTCATGAAATACACATATGTAGTGTCTCTTTGCCCTATAAATAAAGGCGCCCAGTCTGTCTGGACGGCACAGGTGGCTTGGGCTACCGAGGCTCAGGCTGCCTGTGTCCACTGTAACTATGTCTCTGTCTCATTCTTTCCTCTTCCTCCTTAGATAGAGCCAAGCCCTGCGGTCGACGCCGACAATGTGCATGTATTAAGACAAACATCAAATGATCTGTTGGAATGTGCCAGAACCACAGAAAGCATTCCATACACGTCTGCTGTTCAGGACTCAGTGAGACTCCCTCGGCGTGAGGGAGATGGAATTTCCCACGCACCTCTGACGCAGCACTCGGGGCACACATGTGCCCTGCACATCAAACAGTGGGAAAGGTACACCGAGGGTCCCACTAACTGCTTGCTCAGGAGAGCGCTCAGTTGTAGACAAGTGTGAGACAGCCAGCCCTAAAGGAAAGGCATCAAGTGTTGTGGCCACTTAAGAACTAAGCAGTATGGGAACCAGCAGTTAGTGTAATGGCTATGTCGCTGGACTCCCACGTAGTCGACCGTGGTTCGCGTCCCAGACCTGGTGGCTTAGAACTCACGCTGGGCGCGTGTGCGTGTGTGCCCAAGATCCCGAGTGGAGAATGGAGGAGAAGGGATTGCGGCGTGACCATTCCCCCGGGGGTTGATTTCTCACTTTCTGTCTCTCTCTGTCTATCTGGTGAGCACACGTGCCCTATAGTGAAAACCTCTCCAAAAAAAAAGAGAACTAAGCACCAAAGCCCCTGGATGGAAGGTTTTTCTGTCCTGCCAACAGCCTGTGGGGTCTGGCCTGGGGATGGGACAGGCTTTGAACTCCACACGTTCTATGTGCAAGCCAAGACGTCTGTCAAGATGACAGCCCTTTTGGACTCCCCTTCAACCATGAGCAGGGCTAACTCTGATGTGAACGACACGTGGTGCTACTTTCGGTAAAAAGTTACCCTGGAGGGGGTGGCTGTGAGGGCCCTGCTGGTGTGGCCGGCGGCACCTGTCCAGTGTCTCTGTCTGCATTCCACCCCAGGCACGCCGGCCAACTCAGCACGTCCTCCCTGTGCTCTGCCCACACTGCTCCCTCAGGCTGGAACGGCCAGGCACAACCTGCCCACCCGATAAAGCTGTCAGGTGCCACTCAGGCTGTGCAGCCCCGACCCGCCCTCCCAGGCAGTCCCTTCCTGCTGTCACCAGCTTCATTCACAGTCAGGACAGCAAACGGTCTACACATGCCGAGGCATGTCTGCAAGCCCCACTGCCCCTGAGAGCAGCGGCTATCTCAGTCACCTCGGTGCCCCTCGCCAATGCCCAGATAAACAGACTCGGCTGCAGCCCCCTACTCTGCCCTCATCCCAGTCTACACAGCGTTCTGCAGTTTCTTACAAAACCTGATTTTTGGTGCTTCTTCAAGCAAAGGGTCTCCCAAAGCTGGCTCTGCTGACATGTGGGTGGTTAGATTCTTGGCGTGGCCCTGTACATCCTGGGATGTGTAACAGCACCCCTGGCTTCCACCCATGAGATGCCAGCATCCCTCCATCCCCACTCACATGTGTGACAACCAAAAACATCATGGGCATTGCCCAATGTCCTGGGGTGAGGGGTGGCGGGGAACCTCCCCAGTTGACAGCCAGTGTCCTAAACTAGTGCTACTCAAAGTGTGTGTCCCTGGACCTGGGCCCGGATCTCGTTAGCACCCAGACCAGCTGATTCAGAAGTCCTGAGGATGGGGACTAGAGCCATTTAACAAGCTCCCCAGGCGATTCTGCTGCTCCCGAGGGTTGAGCGCCACCCTCCACCACCAGCTTGCTCGCAAGGCCTTGCTGGGCCTGCCAGGCTCGGAGGAGCAGTTTAACAATCTACTGGACCAGCGGCTCCGATGGGCTGTGGAAGGGCAACCTGTGTTTGCAGAATGAAGTCACTGTGGTTCAGTTTCCCTTGTCTGGAAAGCTTGGGAGCAGAAGTCTTTCAGGTATTTAATTAATTAATTAATTAATTAATTAATTTTTAGTTTCTGCCATAGGGTGTGTGTGCTTGACAGAGAAAAACAGAGAGTTAGGGAAAGTGAAAAATCATCCCCCGGGAGGATGGCCATGCTGCAATCCCTTCTCCTCCATTCTCCTCTTGGTATTTTGGGCATGCACGCACACATGCCCAGTGTGATTTTCAAGCTGCTGAGTCCAGGACT